GCTGTGTGTGAGTGTGGCCCAAACCAACCACGCTTGGCAGAGCAACCTTGGAGTGCACAGGGATTGTTTCCTTCCCTTTCCATCCATTTTCCTTCCCTTTCCATCCATTTTCCTTCCCTTTCCATCCATTCTCCTTCCTTTTCTGTCCACTTTCCTTCCCTTTCCATCCATTTTCCTTCCCTTTCCATCCATTTTCCTTCCCTTTCCATCCATTTTCCTTCCCTTTCCATCCATTCTCCTTCCCTTTCCATCCATTCTCCTTCCTTTTCTGTCCACTTTCCTTCCCTTTCCATCCATTTTCCCTCCTTTTCTGGCCATTTTCCTTCATTTTCTGGACGTTTTCTTTCCTTTTTCATCCATTTTCCTTCCTTTTCTGGCTTCCTTCCTTCACTTTCCATCCATTTTCCTTCCCTTTTCCCTCCTCCTTCCTTTTCTGGCTTCTTTCCTTCCCTTTCCATCCATTTTCTTTCCCTTTCCATCAATTTTCCTTCCTTTTCCATCAATTTTCCCTCATTTTCCGTCCATTCTCCTTCCTTTTCTGGCTGTTTTCCTTCCTTTTCTGGCTTCTTTCCTTCCCTTTCCATCCATTTTCTGTCCCTTCCCAATCCATTCTCCCTCCTTTTCCATCCATTTTCCTTTTCCATCCGTTTCCCCTCCTTTTCCAGCTCTTGGTTTTCCTTCAGCCCAGCACAAGAATGACTGCATTTGTTTCCTTTTCCCTCCTTTCCTTGTTTCATTTCTCCCTTCCTTCCTAATTTCCCTCCTTGTCTTGTTTCCCCCCTTTCTTGTCAATTTTTTCCCCCTTTCTTGACTAATTTTCCCCCCTTTTCTATTTTTTCCCCTTGTCTTTTACCCCTCTTGTCCAATTTCCCCTTTTCCTTGCCTGATTTTCCCCATATTTTGTCTAATTTTTCCCCTTTCCTTGTCTGATTTTTCCCTTTTCTAATTTTTCCCCCTTTCCTTTTGTAATTATCCCCCTTTTCTAATTTTCCCCCCTTTTCTTGTCTAATTCCCTCCTTACCTTGGCCACTTCCCCCCTTCCTTTCCCACTTTTCCCAAGCCTGCCTCCCACAATTTAGGAATCCCTCATCTTCAGGCTGCTTTTTATGGAATATTCCAGCTCCTAAAAGGAACTTTCCAGCACCTGGAATATTTTCATTCCCTGAAAAATCAGATTTTTGGAAGGCTGAGTTTCCCAGTAATGATGGATGAGCCTGGCTCCTGTTTTCCATCAGGGATTAAAATCCTGGAAGGTGATGGAAGCAAGAAAAAAACCCCAGGAATTGCTGATAGATCCCTGCCAACTTTGATCCTGGAATTTTGCTCCATTTAAAAGGAATTTTCTGCCAGTTCTCAGATCTTCCCTATCCGTGTCTGATTGATCCCTGCTGGGAATCAGCCTCATCCAGCAGGGAATTTTCCTGTTAAATTGAAAGGGAAACCACTGGCCAGGAGGATTCCTGTTAATTGGATTCTCGTTAATTTAGCTCAGCCTTTTAATGAACTTTTGGGAGCAGCATCATCAGCTGGACCCAGCGCTGTACATGGGATTTTCCTTCCTTTTCTCTTTATTCCCAAACCCTTCAGGAAGAGCAGGAATCCCAAAAAAAAGGTAGGATTCCCTCTGGAATTCTGGTTGAGGAATGGGTTTGCAAGCAGAGAACTGAACAAAAATGAGATTTTATTTTTTTTTTTGTTGGTGGATCTGTCATATTTTGACATTTCTCCCAGTGCAATTTTCCTGCTTTTCCACTTTTTCTTTGATATCAAAGAACCTCAGTTGGAAAAGCAGGGAAATCAGGGGGGAAATGAGAATTTCCCAGCTGGGATGGGATTGGTGGAAATTCCATGGATGTACAAAAGAGCCTTGGGAATTCCAGGGAAAATTCCACAAGGCCCTGGTGGCTTTTAGACAACCTCAGGAGCAATTCCCAATCCAGGAGTAACAGATCCATGGATATTCAGAGAACCAGGAATTCTTGTGGAAAAGGAGTGGCTGTTAGGAAAATGAGTAATATTACACTTTGGGAAGAATATTCTGAATTTGGGGTGGATGTAAGGAAAAGAATAATTTTTCCCTTTGGGAATATAAGAATCATTTTTCCTTTTGGGAATATAAGAAAAATTTTTCCTTTTGGGGAAGAATATTCTGAATTCTGTAAGGAAAAATCATGAAAAAATCCATTTTTCCATTTGAGATGGCTATAGGGGAATTAATAATTTTTCCTTTTGGAAATATAAGAATCATTTTTCCTTCTGTGAATAGAAGACTCATTTTTCCTTTTGGGACTATAAGACTTACTTTTCCTTTTGGGAATAAAATAAGAATAATTTTTCCTTTTAGGGAAGAAGGAATTTTCTGTAAGGAAAAATACAGGAAAAAATAGATGAAAAAAATGAATTTTTCCATTTAAGATGGCTGTAAGGAAAAGAATCATTTTTCCTTTTGGGAATATAAGAATCATTTTTCCTTCTGTGAATATGAGAATCATTTTTCCTTTTGGGAATATAAAACTCGTTTTTCCCTTTGGGAATACAAGACTTATTTTTCCTTTTGGGGAACAATATTCTGAATTCTATAAGGAAAAATACAGGAAAAAAATACAGGAAAAAAAAAAAGAATTTTTCCATTTGGGATAACTGTAAGGAAAAGAATTATTTTTCCTTTTGGGAATATAAGAATTTTTCCTTTTGGGGATACAAGACTCATTTTTCCTTTTGGGAATAAAAGACTAATTTTTCCTTTTGGGGAAGAATATTCTGAATTCTATAAGGAAAAATACAGGAAAAAAATACATAAAAAAAAAGAAAAATTCCATTTATGATGACTGTAAGGAACAACACAGTAAAACCAGAGGAACAAGAATAATTTTCCCCTTTAACCCCAACACTCCGAGCTTTCACCCACCTTCTTCTCCCCAAAACCCCTCCACCCCTCCACTGTGGGATCTCTCCAGGGATCCCCCGAGCTCTGCCAAGCCTGGCTGGTGTCTCCAGGCTGGGGCTGTGTGCGGTGTGCGAGCGGGGGATTCCCGGGAAGGATTTTCCTTGTGTTTTACCTGCCATCTGCAGATGCTGCACAGACTCTCCCAAAGGAGCAGAGCGTCGCTAAGCCCAGCCCAGACCAGCCGCAGGTAAACCCCACTGCCCGGTGGGTTCTTTTCTCGTACAGAGCCGCCCCTTCTCTGTACCCCTGCATGGTGGACTGCCAGAACTTGGTTTTCTTGTTGGTTGTGCTGCTCCTCACCTTCCCGAGAGAAAAACAAACCAATATTCCCTAAAATTGAAAAGTTCTCGGAGTCCACAGAGCAGGGACAGAGCCGCCCTTCTCTGTTCTCCTCGTGTCAGAGTGCCAGTCTCTGAGTGCGTTTTTCTGGGGTGCAGCACTTCCAGGCCTCAGCTTCTCCAGCCGTGTTTTCCTGCTTTTTTTTTTTCCCCCCCTCTTGTTATCCCATCTTTTTTTTTTTTTTTCCCAGTAGGAATTGCCAAATAATTCACTGTGCTTTGTTAGGATTTGTTTCCAGCGGCTTCACCAGGTAGAGGTGAAAAGCGAGGAAAAATCTTCCAAAGTTTTTTCCAGGTGTGGTTTGGAGTGAGGGTTGGGAGTTGTCAGTCACAAAATCAGGGACTGCAGGATTTTTGCCAAGCTTGAAGATTTTTCCTCGTTTTTTTTTTAGTACTGATTCCAGAGGCTTTAACGAGAAATAGTCAGTAGTTGTTTTTATTCTGAATTATTTCCTCTTCCTACCTGCTCGGTCCCGTCCTGCAGCTGGTGCCTGGGGATGGAAGTGCTGCATCCCCTTGTCCCTGCAAGCTCTGCTGGGCTAATTCCTGCTTTTTCCTTCCCTGCAGCACAGCCAGGAGGAAGGATCTGACTCTGGGATCCTGGAGGATGACAGCAAAACCTCTGCTCCGGCTACCTCAGAGCCCAAATGTGACACTTGTGAAGGTGAGGGACAGATTTCTGCACCATCACAGCATTTCCAAACCTCCTGAGAGGGACACGTGGCAGCAAATGCTGGAAGAGAGAGCTGGGAGACTCCAAAAAAAGCCCTGGGTTGGGATAGAATCCTTAAAAATCTTGGTGGTAAAGACTGAGAAGTTGCAAAGTTCACCACAGATGTTTTCTTAGTTTCTGTCTCATAAACAAATGCTCTGAATGCAGTGGCAGCTAAGCCCTAAAATCCAACATGTCACTGAGCAATGCCATGAAAAAAAATCCTCCAGACTTTGCTGGAGGGTGTTTTAAAAGCTGGAATAATCCTTGGATCCATCCCCTTTCCCAAGGGAGGCTCCTGAGCACACGGAGCCCAGCACACAGAGTCCACCCTGCAAACCAAGCAGGGAACAAAAATGAGGGTTTTTTTCATGGATCTGTTGTATTTTAACAGGATTTTTTTGCTGGGTCACTCGTGGAGATGTCAGGAATAATATTCTTGTTTTTCCACTTTTTATTCTCTCGTGTGAGGGAAGCTCAGTGGTAGAAGCAGCTCCTCGTTTCCAGCTCAAATGGGAGAGCTGGAAATTCCCTGGATTTACAGAGCAGCCTCGGCTGTGCCTTGGGGAAACTCCAGGCACTGGAGGGAGGGAGATCCAAAGTGATCCTGGAATCCAGAGTGATGGGTTTGGGATGGATCCCCATTTCTTGGGAATTCAGGAGCTGCAAACTGAATTCCAATAATTTCAGCATTTAAAATCACTCAAAAAATCCTCTCAGTCTGGGGAATTGTTTGTGTTTCTGAGGTGAAACCTGAAATTAAACTCAACCTGTCCCAGTAAAAGGGCACTGGGAACACTGGGATATTCCCTGGCTCGTGCAGGAATTTTTTCCACATGGGATATCCAAACCCCAGAGCTCTCATCCTGATCCAAAACGTAAAAAAAAATTCAGATTTGAGCCCAATTTTTCTCAGCTGGTCTCTTACCCAATGACTCGGACTCTGCTTGGCTCTTGTAGACAAAGACTTGATAGAAAACCTCTCCAAAAGCAAAAAGCCCAAGCTGGATCTGGTTTTTGAGGAATGGGATGTGGCCGGGCTGCCGTGGTGGTTTTTAGGGAATCTCAGAAGCAATTACAAATCCAGGAGTAACGGATCCACGGATATTCAGACTAACCAGGTGTGTAACCACTTGAAGCCTTTTGTCTTCTTCCTCCCCTCTTTTGGGTTCCAAAGAAATTAAATATTCCCCTTTTTTTTTTCTCTCTCTTTCCACTTCCCACTCCGCTTTTTCCCAGTTTGGTCCCATCCAAGCTTTTCCCAAAAATTTTGGTGACTTTTAGTGGTTTTAAATCAACCAAACTCTTCCCTGAAGGGCCTCAGATGTGCCTGGAATTTGGGAATTGCCCTTTTTTATTGGGATGAACATTGGAGGGTGATGGGAGAGCTGGAAAGGGGAGCTTATTGGGATGAACATTGGAGGGTGATGGGAGAGCTGGAAAGGGGAGCTAGGAGTTTGGAAAAAGGGGAGACCGTGAGGTGAAAATTGGAAAAAGGGGGATTTGTGAGGGGGAAATTGGGAAAAAAGTTGGGAAAAGGGGAACTGGCGAGGGAGAAATTGGAAAAAGAGGAGCCCATGAGGTGGAAATTGGGAAAAGGAGAATCTGTGAGGTGAAAATTTTAAAAAGGGGAGCCTGTGAGGTGAAAATTGGGAAAAACTGAGTCATTGTGAGGGGAAATTGAGAAAAGAGGGAACTTGTGAAGTGGAAATTGGAAAAACTGAGTTGGTGAGGGGGGAAAATTGGGAAAAGAGGGAACTTTTGAGGTGGAAACTGGAAAAAACTGAGTTGGTGAGGGGGGAAGATTAAACTGGAAAAAACTGAGTTGGTGAGGGGGGAAGATTGGGAAAAGAGGGAACTTATGAGGTGGAAGTTTGGGAAATGTTGGGAAAAGGGGAACCTGTGAGGTAGAAATTTTCAGGAGCAGGTTCTGAGCGCGGTGAGGGTTTTGGAGGTTGGTGGAGATGAAAACGGGGCAGCGCTGGATGTGGAGCTGCTCCTAAATGGATTTTCCTGGATTTTTTTTCCCCCTCAGGACATCGACACTGCCGTAGTTTCAGACACCACGGATGACCTGTGGTTCCTCAACGAGTGTCCCCTGGAGCAGGGCGGTGCTGGGCTCAAGGTGGAGGTGCTGGACTGTGAGGAGGTGCCAGAAGGTGACACCAAGGTACCTCTGCCAAGTTTTCCCTGTTTTAATTCATCCCACCATGCCCTTGGAAAGGCTGGATCTGTTCCCATCCAGAGGTTAAATCCTGGTTAGGAAAGGCTGTCGCCATTCCTCGTGTGTTTGATGGTTTTCCTTCGTGGGTTTTGGTTGAAATTTGTATTTTCAAGGCATGAAATTGATTTAAAAAGGAATTAAAACTTCTCGCAGGAACTTGAGTGGGTTTCTAACCAATACCTGCAAGAGTTGTAAGTCAAAAATTGTGGAATTAAGTTTGGAAAAGGCTTTTAATGATTGAGTCCAGCTAAAGACTCAAAGAGAAAAATCTGATCACGGTAATCCAGCAAAATTTACCAACATTCTGCAAAATAACCACTGCAAAAATGGCTTTTTATTCACTTTTAGAAGTGATTTAATGAGCAGGGTGATGATAGGATCCTTTAACTGGAGTGTGCAGCACCAGGCAAGCCATAAAGCTGAGGTGGGAATTCCTTGGGATCAGCATTACCTGGGGCTGGAAGGACTCATCCCACATCTACTGCTGGTTTTGGGGTGGAAAAGCTGATTTTCATGTGGTTTTCCAAAAAAAAACAGTGGCTGGATGACATTTTAGTGATACCCAGGCATGGTTTAATAAGGCTTTAATTATATTTTAATTCCATGTTGTCCTGTGGATGGAAATCTGGAGGATTAATCCGTGGAAGGGGCCTGGAAATTTCAAGTAGCACTTTAGAATCACTCAAAAAAACTCAGAATTTTAGTGGGTTTTAGCAGAATATTAATAATTCTAGCAGAATTTTACTGGTTTTAGCAGTATTTTAATAATTCTAGCAGAATTTTTATGATTTTAACAGAATTTTCTAGGCTGGAATAAATGGGGATGTCCCTGGCTTTGGACAGCTGAGTCCTGGCTCTGCACTTGGGCAGCTCCTGCCCTTTATCTGTGAGATAATTAATTAATAAATCCATTAATTATGCAGATTCAACAGCTGGTAAGTGATAGGTGAGCCTGAAAAACAAATTCCTGCCAAATCCCAGGAACTCTCCCCTTGAATTTTGAGCAAAAGATTAAAAATTCTATTGAAATTAAATAAAAATAAACTGCCCCAGCTTGGATTCTTCCAGAGGGCTGGGAGAGAGGAAGGAGAGGGATTCATGAGGGACAGATTTGGGATAAATCGATCCCAAGCTACAAAATGTTGATTTGCCAGCTTATAAATCCCTCCTAAATACAAATTTTTTAACGAGGTTTCCTTGCTGCTTTTCCCACATGGCTAAAACGAGGAATACCCAAAAATAAATGGGATTTTTTTTTTTTTTTTCCTGGATTTTATTTTTTTTTTTTGCCTTAAATCGCTCAGGATTGCTGGCAATGCTCCAAGTGCAGGAAATTCAACTCCCCGGGGAAAAGGTACTGCTACCGCTGCTGGGCCCTGCGCAAGGACTGGTACCGGGACTGCCCCAAACTGCCCCATTCCCTGTCCCTTTCCAACATCAATTCCATGGAAAACCAGGAGCAGGATAGAGGGGTGGACGTCCCAGACTGTAGGAGGACGATTTCAGCCCCGGCTGGCCAAGCCAAGCACCTTTTCCTGGGAGAAAACAAACCCCGCGTGGATCCCGGCAGCTCCATCGAGTCCTTGGATTTGGCGCGGGATGGGAAAAACCGGGATTTTGCCAAGCTGAAAAAAGAGGAGGAGGTGGAATCTTTGGAGAGCATCAAAACCCTGCTGAGTCCCTGCTTCCTGTGCCAGCACAGGCCTCGGGATGGGAATATTGTCCATGGAAGGACTGCTCACCTGGTGGCCTGCTTCAGGTGTGCCAGGATGCTGAAGAAGAAGAGATCGCCGTGCCCGGTGTGCAGGAAGGAGATCAAGATGGTCATCAGGACCTTCATGGGCTAGCAGGGTCTTCTGCTCCTAAAATAACCCCCAAAATAAGGTTTTTTTGCACAAAAACCCCAATTCCAGAGTTTGGTCTGCAGAATCAAGATGGTCATCAGGATCTTTATGGGGTAGCAGGATCTTCTGCTCCAAAAATAACCCCCAAAATAGTTATTTTTTTGCACTCAAATCCCAATTTCAGTGTGTGCAGGAAGGAGATCAGGATGGTCATCAGGACCTTCATGGGCTAGCAGGATCTTCTGCTCCTAAAATAACCCCCAAAATAGTTCTTTTTTTGCACTCAAATCCCAATTTCAGTGTGTGCAGGAAGGAGATCAGGATGGTCATCAGGACCTTCATGGGCTAGCAGGATCTTCTGCTCCTAAAATAACCCCCAAAATAGGTTTTTTTGCACAAAAACCCCAATTCCAGAGTTTGGTCTGCAGGATCAAGATGGTCATCAGGACCTTCATGGGCTAGCAGGATCTTCTGCTCCAAAAATAACCCCCAAAATAAGGTTTTTTTGCACAAAAACCCCAATTCCAGAGTTTGGTCTGCAGAATCAAGATGGTCATCAGGATCTTTATGGGGTAGCAGGATCTTCTGCTCCAAAAATAACCCCCAAAATAGTTATTTTTTTGCACTCAAATCCCAATTTCAGTGTGTGCAGGAAGGAGATCAGGATGGTCATCAGGACCTTCATGGGCTAGCAGGATCTTCTGCTCCAAAAATAACCCCCAAAATAAGGTTTTTTTGCACAAAAACCCCTAATTCCAGAGTTTGGTCTGCAGGATCAAGATGGTCATCAGGACCTTCATGGGCTAGCAGGGCACTTTGCTCCTAAAATAACCCCAAAATGAGGATTTTTTGCACTCAGATTTCCATTTCAGTGTGTGCAGGAAAGAGATCAGGATGATCACCGGGATCTTTATGGGATAGCAGGACCTTCTGCCCCTAAAATAATCCCAAAATGAGGATTTTTGCACTCAAACCCCAATTCCAGAGCTCAGCCAGTGAAACCAAAGAAAACCAAGATTTAAATCCCACCAAGAATCCTCTTTTCCATGGAAATCACCTTGAGATCAAAACCCCAAAATTTTGGAAATTTTCCCAATTCCTCAACTTCAGCCTGATTTTATCCTTTGGGATTCTTTCTCCTGACCAAGAGCAGAAGATCTGGGAAAAATCGTGACTTTTGGGATGGTTTTTTTTTCCATAAATCCCAACTTGTGCAATTCCTTTGGAGCTGAGGGATAAAAATAGAAATAAATATTTATGGTGGGGAGGGCAGGGGATTTGTTTTGGAGAGAAGAAAAAGAACTTTATTCCTGATTTTTTTTATTGTTTAAGGTCGGCAGGTTGAAGAATTCCTTGCTCCCAAATGGGAAATAAATCCAAGTTTTTAATCCACACCTCTCAGGTCACAAATCAGACAGAAAAAATAATAATAATGTTATATTTTGCTTTCTTTTTGGGCTTTTTAGTTTCTATTTCATCTTTTATTTTAAATATATTTAAATTTATTCTGCATCGTCTCTGTCCAGCAGGATTCAATTCCAGCAGCCTTGGGATATTTTGGGATGTTCCATCGGCCCTCACCATTTAGGATAAAAATTCCTCATTTTTGAGTGAAAAGTGGCTTTAAAAACAAAACACAAACTTTTGAGGAATAAAATACCATTTCCACCCTTTTCAGGCACAATTTCCCCCTTTTCTGGCAGATTTTTTTCCCTTTCCAAGCAATTTTTTCCCATGTCCTGGCAATTTTTGCCCTCTTTTTGGGCAGATTTTCCCCTCTGTTCTTTTTTCCCCGTTTCCAGACAAACTTTTCCTTCTTTTTAGGAAATTTTTTCCCCTTTCCAGGCAGATTTTTCCCCTTCCAATGTCTGCAAAAACCCCTGGGAATGGCAGCAGCAAAACCTCTGGATTTGGACCTTTGTTCTCCAGCCCATTCCAAATCCCAATCCCATCTCCTCTGACATTCCTGTGGGATCACCCGCCCCATCCATCCCTGTGACAATTCCAAGCGGAATTTTCCTCCCTTTTCCAGCTGTTTTTTTGGGATCGGCACTCCTGGAGCTCACTAGAGGGCACCCACACCCAGCTCCTGCCGCTCTCCTTCCTTCCAGGATCCACATTCCCGGCTGGAAAATTGGACACAAATCCCGTGGCTGGGGATTTGCTTTTTTCTGATTTCCCAAACCCACAAATCCCAGTTTTTCCCCCCCATTCCCAAATCCCAGCGATGCCCCTTGGACCCCTCCAGGTGCATCCCAACATTCCCAGGTTTTTTCCCTGTTTTTTTTTTTCACAAACCCACAACTTCTTCCCCTCTTTTCTTCCTGTTATTTCCTTTTTTTTTAGGTTTTGGGGTTTTTTTTAGGGGTTTTTTTTTTTCACCCTTTATCCACAAAAGTTCTGGGATTTTGTGGAATCCCGGATCCATCCAGCCCCACAGGGAAATGTCACCATCACCGTTTCCTGGGGTTTTTTTTTAAATCCCAAATCCCTTCCTGCTTCCCCTCCAGGTGACAGCAGTGACAAAGCAGGGGGGTGACACTTGATGATCACAATGCTATAACCCCAAACCCCACACACATCCCAAAGGAAAAAAAAAATAAATTATTTTTCGGGTTTTTTTAGGTTTTTCTTGTATTTCCAAAGCAGGGACTGTCCAGCGAGGGAGGTGACACTGGGGGTGCTTTGTTTGATGATCCCAACGCTCCAAAAAACCCCAGAGAAGAAACCCCAGACCCCACACAGATCCCAAAGGAAGGAACCTCTTCGTTTTTAGGGGTTCTTTTAGGGTTTTTTGTGTATTTCCAAAGCAGGGACTGTCCAGCGAGGGAGGTGACACCTCTGGGGTGTCCCTGGTGCCAGGGGGACGCAGGTTTGGGGTTCCTCTTTATGGCTCTTCACCCACTCAGGGCATCGTCCCCGCGGCATTCCCGCTCCCCTCCCATCTTCCCAGCAGGGTTTATTTGGGATCCACGGCCAAATCCAGCCCCTCCACACGGATCCAGAGGCTCCTCAAAGTCATGTCCATGAAATCCCGTTTTATCCCACACCCGTCGTTTTTTTGGTAAAAAAACCTTT